CTCATTCTTTCTTTGTAAACTATCCTCTTTAAGACAGTTGTACCACGAAAAGGACTTCTTCATCAAAAAGTGCGCTTTATCTAACCTGATAGAGCTAAACTTATTCTAGCACAGCTTGACTGGAAAGACCAATAGCTATAAAACACAAAGCGCAAACCAATTGAAGCAGCAGCAACCAAGTTTATTGTTGCCGTATGTGTGTGGGGGAGGTGACGATGGGAAATGTAAAATAAGCTACCGGATTTGCCTTTTACCCTCAGAAAAACCCGTATAAAGTGTTAGTGCCTCGTTGGGCACAGTCCTGGCCCCTTAAGCCTTCCCGTAATTGTCGGATTAGAGGCTACTAGTCCCGGAACCCTGGACAGGTTCATTTTTTAAACTTTTATGAGAAACTGTCAATACAGGCAGACGCGCGAGTCCGAGGAAGTAACAGAGAAGATGAAGCTTCGCTCACTGGAAAAACATTTCTATTAGCCGAATAAAAGTGTTTTCTCAACGATCGAATCTTCCTCTGCTTCTTTTTCTCAACTACAAGAAATGCTATCTGCTCTTCAACACTCAGAGTACTCAAGACGATCGTTTAGTCTAAGTAGCTCTGTAACTCATTTCAGAAACGATTAAACGAAAATGAGTAAGGAATGATTGTCAGAGGAGGAGGAGGAGGAGGAGGAGGAGAAGAAGAATCAGGAGGAAAGAAACCTTTGATATAAATGTGAATGAATATTAACAAACAAAACAAAAAGTTATAGCATTTTAAAATGTTGAAGGTATAAATCACTATTTACTCAGAAAACTGTCAAAACGATTTAAATAGCTCACAAGAACTTTCATTCGAATACCAGGTGGATGCTCTGTTGTTGGTGCATAACAGCCGCGGCTCTTCACGATTTAGCGTATTATTAAATTAGCAGCTTTCAATTCCCAACTGAATTTTATACCAAAATAGTTGGTGTTGAGGGTAAAAGTGGGTATACGTGTGTTAAATTTATTTACAACATAAAAAATCCTGAGTGATTCCTTTCAGTTGCTTGTACTAAAAATGGTTCTTGCCAAGTAACATGATTTTAATCAAAAATTTGCTTCTCTATGTACGGTTTTGTAGTGCTCCTTAGTATCGAATAAATCTTCAGCCATTATTTTTGCCTATGTTGAGACCTTCTTCATTTTATAGTTCATGTTTTTATCTAATGAGTATTACACTGAGAATGGTTTAGTAATTTAGAAATTGTCTAATGTAATAACTTTAGTAGTTGTATTTCGCATCTTCATCGGAACTGTTGATAATACTCCTATATCCCAAGCATATTGTTATTCAAAAAACTTCCCCTGTTATAGGAGTTTATATGCTCCTAAGTTATAATACGAAATTCTGCATAATTATCCGCTCCTATAATGTGTTTACTACTAACTTTGGAAACTTGACTAGAATGAAGACCCAAAGTTATATTTACAATAGTACAATAAACATAAACAATAAACATTTAACAAGTGGTACTCCCAACAAACAAATATTAAGAGCATCAAATGTGGGATTGATTTGCATTAACTTCATTTAT